TAAAACTGATTGTGGTAATGGTTTCATAACTCTGTGAGTATAATAACCACTGAATGAATGTATACTTTAAATGGTGAATTGTATGTGAATTATGTTCCAATAAAGCTGTTACCACCCTCACTCAGCCAAAAACCAATCCATCTGGGCTTGATGCTCTTTTGTAGTGTTAAGTTCCTATATAACTTTGTGTTGGTTTGCAATGATGTTCTATTTCTAGGTTTTCTGTCTGTTTTTTAGCTTGATATATATTATTGTCTCATTTTTCAGGATATAAACGTTGAAGAATATGAGTTTTCCTCTGATCGCTGTTCAAAAAAATCCCATGTTATTTATAATAGTCAAAAAAGGGGAAGTAACCCAATGTCCATCAACTAATGAATGGATAAATTGTGATACACCCATACAGTGGAATATTATTTAGTAAGAAAAAGAAATGAAGTACTGGTACATGCTACAACATGGGTGAACCTTGAAAACGTTACGTAAGTCAAAGAAGCCAGACACAAAGACCACATATTGTAATATTTTGTTTACATGAAATGTGAGAATAGGCAAATTCCTAGAGACAAAAAGTAGATTAGTTGTTGCCTTGGGCTTGGGTTCAGGTGGGTATTATAGCTAAGAGGGTACTGGGTTTCCTTTTGTGATTATGAAAATGTACCAAAATTGATTGTGGTGATGGATACACAGCTCCGACTATACTAAAAGCCACTGTATGGTACATTTTAAACGGGTTAATTATGTGCTATGAGAATTCTATCTCAAACAAGACTAAAGGTCTAAAAAGAGGACTGAATGACCTAGGAGTTCATTTTGTGGACTAGCAGGATTATCTTTATAAATATGCATAGCGCTACGTGGAGCTGAACCAACATGGAGAGACTAGGAGAAAGGCACTTGAACTTCTTTGGCCCGGAACCCAGAGGGAAACCCCGCCCACCGCGTCTGTCCCTCTTCCAACTCGGTCCCCTGCGCTCCTCTCGGCTCTCCGGCCCGGTCGGTGTGGACAGCCTGCTCTGGATCGAGGTCCAACCGCCTCCCCGGACGTCTGGAAGAAGAGGCCGCCATCCGCCATCCGCCATCCGCAATCCGACCTAGATGCTCCGGAGGCTCCGCCCCTTACGCTGACCTCGTGGCGGAAACCGGAAGCGGAAGTGCTCGTTGGATAATATCTCACTTCCCGCTCCGCCCTGCGTGGGAGGTAAGTTTTCCACTCCGTGGGCCTCCCGCTGGGCGCTCACTCCGGGGGTTCCGAACGTCCTGGGCTGGTCGGGAATCGCGGCGCTTCCTCCCCGCCGGTACACCGCGCCCGAGGGACTGCGGCCGACCCGGTCCCTCCGAGAGCCTCTGTCGGCTCCATCAGCGCGGGTGGGGGTCGTGGCCGTGGCTCAGGGTCCCGGGTGGAGGCAGGACCCTTTCTCCGTCCGGTGTGCGCCTCTCTTCAAAAGCTGCCAGAACAAACACTGTGCCCTTTCGCCAGAGGAGAAACGTGTACGCAGTGGTGGGAAACGGCCGCAGTACCCTCTTCTCGCTGACCTGGCGATTGCGGGCAGAACGTTCTGGTGAGCACTGGACGGAAATGCTCTGGCTGTGGGCACCCGTTATTGAAGTTTGATGTATTATTCAGGTGTTACCTTGTTGCACATTGACCATTTGTTAGTATTTTGCATGCGTAGTGGACCTCTTTATCCAACTCAACATGTGTATAGTTAAATGTTTATGATAAGCTCTTTGAAGGTAAGGAGATTAAAATAATTTGCAGGCATGATATTCGACCTTTAGTACTTGGTTAATTGCCTCACATGTAACAACAAAGGAGTTATGTAATAACTCCTACAAATTAATACCCAAAGTGAAAAATGAACAAGAGGTTTCGATAGGCTCTTCAATAAAAGAAAAAATGCAAATGGACAACAAATATATAAAAAAGTGCTTCATTAGCAACCAGAGATTTGCGAATAAAAACCACAGTGTATACTACTGCACACACTAAATGTCTAAAAGTAAAACTAAAAAGAGTGACAGTGCCGGGGCGCCTGGGTGGCTCAGTCGTTAAGCGTCTGCCTTCGGCTCAGGTCATGATCCCAGGGTCCAGGTATCGAGCCCCACATGGGGCTCCCTGCTCAGCGGCAAGCCTGCTTCTCCGTCTCCCACTCCCCCTGCTTGTGTTCCCTCGCTCACTGTCTCTCTGTCAAATAAATAAAATCTTTAAAAAAAGAAAAAGTGACAGTGCCAAGTGTTTTAAAGTGTATCAACTAACTTACCAGTAACACACACACATGTCCACCAATTGAACATAAACAGTATTTGTAACATCATTTTTTTCTTTTTCTGAAGATTTTGTTTATTTGAGAGGGAGACAGCGAGCACAAACGGGGAGCAGCAAGCAGAGGGAAAAGTGGGCTTCCCGCTGAGCAGGGAGCCTGAAGCGGGACTCAATCCCAGGACCGTGGGATCATGACCTGAGCCAAAGGCGGACGCTTAACTGACTGAGCCACCCAGGCGTCCTTATTTGTAACATCATTATTTGAAATATCCCTAAATTGGAAATAACCCAAAGTGGATCAAGGGACAGGTGGATGAATTGTGGCATATATTTTCTGTGGCACACTCTTTAGTAAAAGGAAGGAGCACAGTTGCAACAACTTAGATGAACTTCACAAACATAATGTCTAATGAAAGAAGCCAGACATAAAAGAGTGCGTGCTGTTTGATACTCTTTAAAATTCGAAAACAGGCAGAAGACTCTAAAGTGTCAGGATAGTGGTTGCAGTTGGGAGGCATGGAGTGAGTGATTTGGAAAAGAGACAAGGAATATGTCTGTGATGCTGGATTTGGATATATTCTATTTCTCAACTTGAATGATGGTTGTAAGGGGCTGTTCATTTCTTAATTCCTCATTGAGACTTTTATTCATGATTGCCTCCCTTAGTTGTAAGTATGCTGTAATTTAATAAAAGAAGTTCGAGAAATGGATCTAAGCATGCTACTTCATAAGGTTGAGCAAGAAATATAGAAGTAGAAAAAGTACTGAATGAATAAAAATAAAACTAATGATGGAAAAAAGTAGAACTGATCAGTAATAAGAAAAGGTGAAAAGATGCATGATATATTTGTATACTAGTCTTTGTGGTTAACTATGAGATAATATGGAAAGCCTTCAGTTTCAACATAAAAAAAAAAAAAACACTTGGGACACCTGGGTTGCTCATTCGGTTAAGCCTCTGCCTTCAGCTCAGGTCATGATCCAGGAGTCCTGGGATCAAGTCCCAAATTGGGCTCCTTGCTCACAGGGAGCCCCCTTCTCTCTCTGCCTGCCACTCCCCCTGCTTGTGCTCTCTCTCTCTGACAAATAAATAATATCTTTTTTTTAAAAAACAAACCCAATGACATGATTCAGAAGCTGTTGGAGTGGCTAACATAAGTGTATTTTGAGTTTTTGTAAAATTATGATATTTCAAGTTTGGATGTCTTTAGGTCAAACTTTGGACACTACTTTTTAAGTAAGTAAGGTATCAATTATCACAGTCCTCTGAAGTGATTATTTCCCTATTCTGTCTTTATCCTACCTTTAACTAGCCCTGTTTCTGTATCAGGAATATATTTGTATATGTGCAGTACTCCTTATACTTTAATGGGATTGATTCTTTATACTGCTCATCACCAACTGATAATTATCTGTTTATTACCTGCATTGCCTGATTGAACTGTGAGATCCCTAAGAACTGTTCCCTCCTCGTTGCCTAGTACCTGGCCTGGCAGAAGGAAGGCCCTTACTAAATATTTGCTGACTGAATGAAGGGATAAGAGACAGAAGGATGCAAAGGTTCCAAATCCAACCAAGTTCCAGCAGGGGGTGCTCAGGGGGACTTCTCATTTCATAAACTCTTTTGTATTTCTCATTTCCATTATGCCTCTCAGAGGATGTGGACTGAATTCTGGTCATCTGTGGAATAACAACCACCACAGGAGATAAGGCTCTTGCCATACCAACATGTGTCGGCCTGGCTTACCTTTCCTAATGGGTGATTTGAGACAGTTATTAATACTGTGTGAACCTCCGTTTTCTCAGTTATTAAATGACAGTTATTAATACCCAATTTGGAGGGTTGTTAGGGCAACTGAAGGAGTTAATATTTGTAGAGCTACTAACAGTGCTCAGTAAATAGAGGTTGGTATTAATATTTGCATGGTAGGATATTCGACAGTTTTTAATGGCTGTCACATGTTTTATCTGCACAGAGATGGCTAAAGAGTGATGTTTGATGATTGAGGAAAAATGCCTATTGCTTAATGATGGGTATTGTGAACCGGTTACCCAGACACTCCAGTAGTCAAAGAGCACTTGAGATCAACCTCTTAATTTAAACTCAAAAGCTTCTCTGAAGTGGTCTTCTGAGCAAGAAATGGAATATTTTGGAAATTCTCACTATCAGATTCACAGGATGGCAGCCCTTGATGTGAATCAGGTGTGTGGTGAGTCCTTGTTGACTTCTTTTCATATAGTTCCGTCACAAATGGCAGATCCAGTGCTCAGTGCTCAGGGGCTGAGTGATCATGCAGTAGGCCATATAAGAGCGACTGAAATGAGCAGAGCATGTATAAGTCAGGTTCCTGGGATTTGGGAGGCAGGAAGGTGTGTGTGCTTTTTGCGGGGGTAACATGTTCATGAATTCTGTGGTGTCAAACAACTCTGCTTCTCTGTACTGTAATTTGTGTAACTCTAAATTGGAATATTTAACCTGTTCCTCATGGGTAGCAAGATCCAGAAAACCATTTTCTTGCTACAGGTAACTCAGAGCACTTTGCCAGTTTATGGAATTAGTGTGTTTGTGGTATGTTCTGTGCATGGTGTGGAATAGCTTATAAGCATGTGATTATTGGAATTGGATTGGCTTCAGAGTTCATGGCATTCTTCTTTCTGAGGTCATCTTTCTTGGGACCCTTACTGTCTTCATGAGGGGAAAATTGAGGAGGCAAGGATGGTGGCTGGGTTACTGATGGATTCTTCTCAGGTAAGTGGAAAGTTGACCTTTCTGCAGAATGTCAGGCTTATTTATTGGGTAGTCATTTCTCCTTGTAATGTCCCCAGGCTTCTTATAGCAATTAATGACTCTGCTTAAGGAATGAGTCTCAGGTCAATTTCTCCAGGACTCATGCCATCTCAGAATATATAGGGATTACAGTAATCCTCAAGATTATATGATTCTTTTATCTCAATATTCATTAATTCTTTCTGATCCTCAGTCATGCTTGTTGGCTTATCGTTTTGTTGAGTGGTATGATAGATACTGAGGAATGATATGAAGGTATCTAATCTCATGGAATGTGTGTGTTACTGTGGAAATAATTCATCTGTTAGAAGATTTTACAGTGTTTGCATTGTGTTCAGTGCTAACTACAGCCTATAAATAGAGGAGAAATAAAGCACGAATAACCCACAGTCAAGTTGTGATAACATAAATGTAGTCACATGTCAGTGATGCTGTAAGTCCATGTGACTGGCTGTGACCACCAGGCAGCATCTGTAGCTAGAGAAGAGGTCTGGGCCCAGGAGTACTATAGGCTTCTGGTCTACCTTCCTCAGTCCCTCATGCATCTTCCTGAGAACCTCAAAGAAGATGGTGGTTAGCTGAAGCCAGCATGTATTTGATGGTTTAGCACTTAGTGACCTTCGAGGATGTGGCTGTGAACTTTACCCAGGAGGAGTGGACTTTGTTGGATCAAACACAGAGAGATCTCTACAGAGATGTGATGCTGGAGAACTACCAGAATCTCATTATACTAGGTAAGGCTGGAATCATTTCTTCATGAATGTTATGAATGTTATGAAATGAATGTTTCTTAAGTATCTTTCCTGTCAAATGGGAATAGTGTGGTAAACAAGACAGACATAATCCCTGACCTCAGGGGCCTTACTATCTAGAGGACTCCCTGTGAAAATGAAGATCTGTCTAAATAAATGACTTTATTCCTTTTAGGGACTGAAAACCTTAGGACTTTAAATGTGTGTAGAGGCTGGACATGATTTTCAGGTCTTAGAGCTCTCTAGTCATTTGAGGACAAAGAAAGAATGTACTTATATTTTTGTTCCTTTTAGAATAGTTTTATTGCATCGATTTAAAATTTTGTGTGATTATTTTGCTGTTTGTAAAGTGAGACTTCACTGTCTACAGAAACCCTGAGGCTAAAGTGTCGGTTCCTATCCAAAGAGCTGCTTTTCATGTCTTGCAAGGTCCATTTTGTATATTTTTCCTGTAAGCAGGATACGAATCATGCAAACCTGATCTCACCTCTTCAATGGGAGGAGCAGAAGAGCTGAGGACAGGAGGGAGAGGAATTCTGCAGGGTAAGTTCATGCCTGGGTAAGGTGCTGTACATTTGGAAATGCCACTTGGCAGACTTTCAAAGGTATACTCTTTTTCTGAGAAGGCTGAAGTCATTTGGTTTCTGAGTTTGCTTAGGAACCTTCAAATTTCCATTGATCTCAACCTTTTCCTGTTCTCCCAGAAAGATCTGTCTGACTCAATTGAAAATTTCATTACCTGCAGATAGCTCATTTTGCAGTACTTTCTATCTTATTTTCCTGATTCTATCAGTGTTTTTTTGTTTATGGTCAGCCTTAGTTTTCCAGAGTATTAAGCTTTGTACATTGCCTACAATTTTGACACCATACCCTTATCGTTGCCAAACTCCTAACAAGCCAAAGTCTGTGTAGTCCAATTTCCCTTTTATTTCAACCTTTTATCTTGTTTCATGCATATTTAGACATAAGTATGTGCCATATGTTTTTTTTAGAGATAGAATACACAAAAATTAACCATTTTAGTGGGTATGATTTATTGGTATTGAGGACATTCACAGTGTTGTGCAACCATCAGCTCTTTTTAGTTCCAAAATATTTTCATCACTTGAAAAGGAAACCCTGTAACCATTAAGCAGTCAGCCTCCCTTCAGCTCTATCCCCACTCCCTGCAGCCACTAATCTACTTTCTAATCTACAGGTTTGCCTATTCTGTACATATCAAATAGAATCATACAGAATTCAGTTTCATGACTATAACTTATTACCTAGGAATAGAATTGTGAGGGCATATGGTCATTTTGTTTAACTCGCTAAGGATTACCAAACTGTTTTACACAGAAGCTGTACCATATTAGATTCCCTCTAGCAGTGTAGAAGTGACTCTACCTCCTTGCCATCACTTCTTCCTTCCTTCCTCCCTCCCCGCTTCCTTTTTTTTTTTTTCTTTTTACTAGTAACCATCCTAGCAGGTATGAAGCGGTATCTTACTGTGCTTTTGATTTGCATTTCCCTAAAACAAATGATGTTGGACATCTTTTTGTGTGCTTGTTGACCATTTCCATGTCTTTGGAGAAATGCTGGTTCAAGTTCTTTGCCCAGTTTTTACCTTGGGTCGTTTGTTTTGTTGTTGCTGAAGCATAGGTGTTCTTTCAGTACTCTAATAGTGGACCCATATCACATGGATGATTTGCAAATATTTCCTCCCATTTTTGGGGTTATCCTTTTGCTTTTTTTTAAAAATTTTTTATTGTTATGTTAATCACTCCTTTTGCTTTTTTGATAGTGTTCTTTGATGTACATTTTTAATTGCAGTGGGGTCCAGTTTATCTTTGTTTTCTTTGGTGCTTTTGATATCATATCTAAGAATAGATAGACTGGACACTGTCAAATCCAACGTTCTGAAGGTTTACACCCTTGTTTTCTTCTTCTTTTTTTTTTTTTTAAGATTTTATTTATTCATTTTGAGAGAGCGAGAATGAGAGAGAGCGAGAGAGAAAGCACACGAGAAGGGGGAGGGTCAGAGGGAGAAGCAGACTCCCCGCTGAGCAGAGAGCCCGATGCGGGACTTGATCCCGGGACTCCAGGATCATGACCTGAGCCGAAGGCAGTCGCTTAACCAACTGAGCCACCCAGGCGCCCCACCCTTGTTTTCTTCTAAGAGTTTTTATAGGTTTAGCCTTTATATTGGGTTTTTGATCCGTTTTGAGTGAATTTGTATATATGGCGTGAAGTAGGTGTCCCATTTGATTCTTCTGCATAGAAATATCCAGTTATCCTAGCACTGTGTGTGTGTTGAAGAGACCGTTCTTTCCCCCATTGGATGGTCATGGCATGCTTGTTGAGAATATATTGATTCTAGATGTATGGTTTTTTTTTTCTGGATTCTCTCTTCTATTCATGTATATGTCTATCCTTTTGCCTGTACCACACATTTCTGATATTGTACTTTTTGGCTCCAGAATTTATTTGGTTCTTTTTTGTAATTTCTGTCTTTTACTTGACAGTCTCTTAAGTGAGATATAATTCTTCTAGTTTCCTTTAATTCTTTGTCCATGGTTTCTGTTAGCTTTTTCGGTGTGTTGAAACAGATTGATTTAAACTTATTAGTAAGTCCAGTGCTTTGGCTTTCAGGAACAATTTGTATTAATTTTTTCATTGTTCCATTGCATACCTCATATGTTTTAGTTGGAAATGTACATTTTAGATACCATAATGTGGCAGTTTGAAAATCTGATTCACCCCCTCCCTGGGTTTGTTGTTGCTGCTTGTTGTGTATTGTTGGTGTTTGTTTAGTGGCTTTTATAAATTGTTTTTGTATATTCTGCCTTCTTTTTAGTGCAGTCCCTGATCTGTGTTCTGTTAGTTTAGTGGTCACCTTAGAGTGACAGAAATTCCTTAAATACTGGAGCCAAGAAAAGAAAACTAAACTATTCTTTTAGTTTTTGTTGACTGGCTGTGTGTTGGGCCACTCCTTCAGTGTTTAGCTAGACCATCTACAACTCTTCCTTAGCCTTCCATTCCTGGCTGAAGGTCAGCCAGAGGTGAAAGTTTTGAGTCCTCTCCAGCCTTTCTCAGCATGCATCCAGCCCCCAGTGTGCTTGTGGACCTCTTGATTCCCTGGTAAACACTCGAACTTTTATTTACGCACATATCAGCATTCCCAGTCTGTTCCTTCTAAGGCTTTTCAGGCTGTCTTTTGTTTGTCCCAAATGCCTTTCCTTTCCTTGGACTGCTGTAGGCAACACTTTGCCTTTAGACACTTTCATCAGTAGTTGTCTGAGATGCTGCCTTGCTCCTGGGAACTCTGAGTTCGGTGAGATAAAGGCACACCCTTGCAGCAGTGATACTCGAGGAAGCTGCCAGACAGATGGAAACACAATGGCAGTTCTTCAACAAAGTCCATAGTGCTCCTTTCAGCACTTGTAACTTGCTCAGGGATGCATCCTGTGGTCTACATGGCTGCCAGTGATCTGAAGAGGGGGGGTGGTAGGTGGGTAATTAAAATGCCTCAGCACTCTCTTGGTGAACTATAGTTGCTTCTTTCTTCCATAAGTGTTCCCTTGGTGGTTATAAGTTTTTGACTAGGTTCTAAAGTTCTGTAATAGTTGATTTTGATAGTTTTTGTAAGCTTGTTGTTTTCTGGTGGGAAGGAGTCCTGGAGTTCCCTACTTCACCATATTTTGTGGTGTCATTCTCTGTGCCATATGCTTTTAAACAATTTTATCCCAGGATTTTTCTCCAAAACTAAATTTTTCCACTTTTTTTCAGAATTGGATTTGCAGCTCAAAACCAAAGGTTCCACATCCCTTCAAGATATTTCTTTGGAAAAAACATCAAATGGAATCCAGTTGGTAAGATCTCCAAAAGTAATTCCTTTCTTCCACACCTGGACCAGAAGTACAAAATCCATGTGAATTATATGAAATAAATGTCACTTACCCAAAGAAAGCACAGTCTGTGAAGAGATTCTTTGAATATCAAGAATTTGAGGAGCACTCTAAACCTACTTCAAACCCGTTTCTCCTCAGAGATCCACATAAATATAACTCAGATGTCCAGTTTTTGATGCACTGGGATTTAGTCAGAATAATTTAGGTTTTAAGTGATTTAGTATGAATAATTACCAGAAGATACTCTGTGGAAGTAGAATATAATTCAGGGCCCTAGCCTCAGAGTCTGTTTGTTCAACTTAAAACAACTAAAAACAGGGCAGGAACTCTGTACACTTAAATGGAAATGGAAAAAACACTTCAATTATGATGATGTTTCCAATGCATAAAAGTTGTGATGAGGGAGAAATTCTGTTATAGTGCGTGTGGAAAAGTCTTTAGTTATCACTTAAACCTTAATCAACAGGAGAGAAGCAATGCTGGAGCAAAGCAATATGGCTCTCACCTGTATGGAAGAGCATTTAGTGGGCACTCATTTATGACTCACAGTAGACAGAAAACTTCTAAGGGTAATCAGAATGGGAAAGCCTTTAAAAAGAACTTTATTTGTACTTTGCTCAAGGAAATCCCTGTTGGGGAGAAAACTTCCGAGAGTGTTCAACATGATAAAGCCCTTTGTCAGCTTTCAAATCTTACTGGGCAGAAGGAAACTCAGACACGAGGGAAAGTGTGTGAATGCAAAGACTGTCAGAGAACTTTTGTTGATCAGTCATCCCTTAAGGTACACATGAGACACCACACTGGAGAAAAACCATATGAATGTAAAGAATGTGGGAAAGCCTTCCCTCATTCCTCATACCTTACGGATCATAGAAGAATTCACAGTGGAAAAAAGCCCTATGTATGCATGGAATGTGGGAAAGCCTTTACTCGATCGACAGGACTTATTTTACACATGCGAATTCACACTGGAGAAAAACCATATGAATGTAAGGAATGTGGAAAAGCTTTTATTCACTCTTCATACCTTACAAAACATGTAAGAATTCACAGTGGAGAAAAGCCATATTTATGTAAGGAGTGTGGGAAAACGTTCACTCGTTCCTCAGGACTTGTCTTACACGTGCGAACACACACTGGAGAGAAACCCTATGTATGTAAGGAATGTGGGAAAGCCTTTAATAATTCTTCAATGCTCAATCAGCATGTAAGGACACACACTGGAGAGAAGCCATATGAATGCAAGCAGTGTGGGAAAGCTTTCACTCAGTCTTCAGGCCTTACCACACATTTAAGAACTCACACTGGAGAGAAGGCCTATGCGTGTAAAGAATGTGGGAAAGCTTTTGCTCGTTCTACAAATCTTAATATGCACATGCGAACGCATACTGGAGAAAAGCCCTACAAATGTAAAGAATGTGGGAAAGCCTTTAGATACTCCACATGCCTTAATATTCACATGCGAACTCACACTGGAGAGAAACCATATGAATGTAAGGAATGTGGGAAAAACTTCACTCAATCTTCGGCACTTGCTAAACATTTAAGAACTAAGGCATGTGAAAAAACCTGTAAATGTTCTTCAGATGTTAGTATTCACATCTAAACTCATCTGGATAAAGTACCTTAGGAAAGTAAAGAATGTGTGAGAAAGCTCTACTCATTTTGCATCCTTACATGATAGGAACTTTCTGGGGCAGAATTCCCATTCATATAAGGTATATGGGAGAGCAGTAATTGTTCATACTTTACAGAATGTGTAAGAACTCGCACTTGAGAGAACCTTCCAGTTATAAGTATGTGGGAGAGCCTTTTTGTTGTTGCTCTGAACATTAATTTTACGTATCTAAAATTACTGTAGATTTAGAAACTGGCTGGCTCAGTTGGTAGAGCAGGTGACTCTTGATCTCAGGGCTGTGAGTTCGAGCCCCACTTTGGGCATAGAGATTACTTACAAATAAATAAGAAACTACTGTAAAAGTGATGTGAAGGTAAGAATGAGATACAGCCTTAAAATACGACCACATGCTTTGATAGCACACGGTAACTCATCCTAGGGATGGGTCATCTGTTTGTAAGGAACGTGGTGAAACCGTAGTGCCAAGGCCTTAATACCCACGTGAGACTTCATACTGGTATAAAACCCTACAAATGTCAAGGATCCAGGAAGACCTACAGTTGTTTCTTGTATCTTTTAAGAACTCAGCATTTAAAAAAACAGTGGAGAGATTTCTATACATGTTAAGAAATATGGGAAAGCTTCGGGAAAGCTTTTAGAAAATCTTGATTGCTTCATATGCAAGGAGACTCATGAATGTAAGAAATGCTGAAAATTGTTCAGGTGTTAATGGGTAAGTCACAACACGCAGTGAAGAGAAACCTTACGATGGTAAGATATGTGGGAAAACAGAGCCCCGTCTGTTAACATTCTTTAGTAATCTCACAGAGGCAGAAAATGTTATGAATATTAGAAATAATGGTTATGCCTTTATGTGTGTATGTGTTTATTTTTTGGCTTTTGACCTTTAGTAAAAATAATCCACACTGGAGAGAAATAATGGTTGTAGGGTACATGGGAAATGGTGTATCCATCTTACACATCTTACTCTACATGTGAAAACCCACCCTGGAAAGAAGCTGAATGAATGTAAAAATGTGGGAATGATTTTTGGTAAATACACATCCCTTAAGAGACACAAAATACTCACTGAAGGAATGAAGTATGAATGAGAGGAATTTGGGGAAGCTTTCAGGTATTGCTCTTCACTTACTGTACGCAAGAGAATTCTTCCTGGAGGTCATATTGAAATAAATGACATAAATGCAATTGCCTTTCTGTGTGTTTCCTCCTCAAGGAAAGCAGCTAGCACCTGTATTTTTTGTGGTGGTTTTGTTTTACAAAGTTTTAGTTGCTTTAAAGATACTCTAAGTAAAATTTTTGCAATATTATACTCATTTCATATAATGGTGTTTTCATTATGGTTCACATCTAAAGACTTCCCCATATATATGTCTTCATTGAATTATATGAGATATTTGGAACTTTATTTGGCAATGTAAGAGCATTTAAAAAAAAGATTTTATTTATTTGACCGAGCAGGGGAAGCAGCAAGCAGGTAGAGGGAGGGGGAGAAGTAGGCTCCCCGTGGAGCAGGGAGCCCAATGTGGGGATTGATCCCAGGATCCTGGGATCATGATCTGAGCCAAAGGCAGACACTTAACTGACTGAGCCACCCAGGCGCCCCTGTAAGAGCATTTTTAAAAATTATCTCTGGGCGCCTGGGTGGCTCAGTCGGTTGAGCGACTGCCTTCGGCTCGGGTCATGATCCTGGAGTCCCGGGATCGAGTCCTGCATCGGGCTCCCTGCTCGGCAGGGAGTCTGCTTCTCCCTCTGACCCTCCCCCCCTCATGTGCTCTCTCTCTCCAATAAATAAAATTTAAAAAAAGTATTTGTTTATTTTGAAAGCATGCGCGTGAGCTGGGGGAGGGACAGAGGGAGAGACTCTTTCAAGCAGACTCCCTGCTGAGCACAGAGCCTCACACAGAGCTCAGTCTCACGACCCATGAGATCATGACCTGAGCTGAAACCAGGAGTTGGATACTCAACTGACTGAGCCACCCAGGTGCCCTTGCAATGTAAGAGCATTTTATCATGTTTTTAGGTACTGCTTTCTGGTGTATTTGCAAGTGGGTCATAAAATGGGGCTCTTCATATTATTTGATATAGGACAATTCTTGCTTTCTATGGCAAGTAGTTTTTAGTCATCACAATATTCCTTGTCCCTTTTAAATAGAATCCAGATTATCTCCAGGCACATAGTTTAAAAAAAAAAATTATTCCTACTTCTCAGGTTTCCTTGGGTTTATAGGAAGACTATATTTCATAATCGTGGCTAATAAGAAGTAGGCAGAAGACATCAGTGTGGATTCTGGAAAAGCTTTTAAAAAGGGGACAGTCTCCAGTGGCTTTTTCTCTTCAAGGATTGCTCTTCTTTCTCCTTCCTTCCTGGAAGTCAGGTACATTCCTATAGTTTAGATGATACATTGTGTACTATGAGGACAAAAGCTACAGACAAGTAAGGTGTGGCTGAAAAACACATGCTTTCTGCTTGTAGTATTGCACCAGCCCTTGGACTGCGTATGTGTAGACTTCTTGGTACATAAGAAAAAACTTATCAGGCTGAGCACTTACGTTTCCGAATCATCAGTGTATAGATGGCACTTAAAACCATTCAATTAGATAATTTCAGCTGAGGATTGGCAAGCCCTGGGAGTCAACTTTGGCAATTGGAGTCATGGGAGGAAGTGCTGAATGAATTGAGAAGTAGTGGCCCATGAAATAGCAATAGAATTAAGATTGGTGTCCATGAATCCAAGGCAAGGAGCAGCGACGGATCCACTATACCAAATGCTGATTTGGGTGAGTTGAATGAGGATGGGATTTAACCATAAAAGTCATTGAGGACCTTTTTCAAAAGCTGGCTTTATAGAACAGCATGTGCCAAGGTCTTGCAATAGATTTCTGAGAAATTAGCATATACATTGTCCATCCTATTCTACCCTATCCATTCTATCCTAAATATAGATAGATACGTCTCTTTGACCTCACAATCTGTACCTTAATATTCTAGCTTTACATTGTGTTATTAGTTTACTATTGCTGCTGTAACAAACTACCAAACAATGCCATAAGACAACTACAATTTTACTACCTTACAGTTTTGGAGTTCAGAACTCTGAAAAGGGTTTCAGTGAACTAAAATCAACATGTTAATAGGACTGTATTCCTCCCTGGAGGCTCTAGGGGTGAATCTGTTTCCTTTTTCCGGCTTCTAGATGCCCTTCTCTCTTTTTTTTTTCCTGGATCTTTTTTCCTTCTTGAAGGCCAGCATTGTCAGTCCATCTCATACTACCATCTCTCTGGCTCTTCTGCTTTACTGCGTTTTTTTTTTTTTTTTTTAGATTTTATTTATTTTTCAAAGATTTTATTATTTATTGGAGAGAATGAGGGAGAGGGAGGGAGAAGCAGACTCCCCACTGAGCGGGGAGCCCGATGTGGGACTCGATCCTGGGACTCCAGGATAATGACCTGAGCCGAAGGCAGTCGCTTAACCAACTGAGCCACCCAGGCACTGAGAGAGAGAGAGCACAGAGGGAGATTGAGAGGGAGAAGCAGACTCCCTGCTGAGCAGAGAGCCTGATGCAGGGCTCCATCCCAGGACCTTGAGATCATGACCTGAGCTGAAGGCAGATGCTTAACTTCCTGAGCCACTGAGGTGCCCCCCTCCTTCTACTTATTTTAAAAAAAAGTAAACTCCCCAATGTGGGGCTCAAACTCAAGGCCCTAAGATCAAGGGTTGCATGCTTTCCTGACTGAGGCAGCCAGGCACCCCACCTCTACTACATTATTTTAATGCTTTTCTGTTATTTTCCCCCCATTCTGTTAAAAAAAATATTAGAGCACAAGTGGGGGAGAGGAAGAAGGAGAGGGAGAGGGACAAGCAGACTCATTGCTGAGTGCAGAGCCCAACATGGGGCATGGTCCCAGGACCTGAGATCATGATCTGAGCTGAAGTTCTGGGATCAAGCCCCGCGTCGGACTCCCAGCTCAGCCAGGGGTCCGCTTCTCCCTCTCCCTCTGCCTCTCCCCTTGCTTGTGCTCTGTCTCTCTCCCTCTCAAATGAATAAATAAAATCTTAAAAAAAGATGCTTAATCGAATGAGCCACCCAGTCATCCCTTTTTTTTCCATTCTTAAATTTTATAATTGTAGCATACATATAGAATATAGTGTGAAAATGCATAAGGGCTGCTAATAAACTACAAAATAGTGTGTCCATAGATGTCTACCTTCCAGATAAGTAAATGGAAGATTACTTTACCCGTGTGAATCTTTTCCATCTTGCATCACCTTCCATCCAAGAGGAAACTGTTGTGTTTGGACATTGGCTTAACCATTGTATTAATCATGCTTTTAATTTTGTGTATTATATTGCTTTAACATGTTTGGGGTCTTGCTGCCTGGAGAGACTGCCCTTCCAGGACTAGCTTTTTTTTTTTTTTTACCTAAATTGTTTAATAGGTAAGAATTTTACAAACGTTACTTATATTAGCAGTAACAGTGGAGCTGGAGAATATTGTGTCCTCTCTGTGCTGCCTGATAAGAAACACTAATAATGTGGTGGAACTTCTGACCCTTTCCAAGGCCATGGCTCTTGCAGCCTGCAGATGTCAGCCCTCCCATTTCCCTGTGCTTGGGGACTGGTTTAGTGATCCACTGGTGTCAGGATTTTTTCTGATAGCTTTATGCAATGGATCAATGAGGGTAACCTCAAAGAATTTGTATGTGGAATCTTCACCAACCCAGTAAGAATTCAAGACTCTCAGAGCCCCAGTGGCATCCAGCTTGCTCCTCAGCAACTGACTGAAGGTGTTGGGCAAACTTTAGCTGGTTAACACCATGATGGACAGGCTTGCCATAGGTTGCACCCTTAGGAACTGGGTATTGGCGGCCACTACATCACACACAAATCCAAAATATGACATAAACTTGCTTGGCCTTGTACCCCAGTCTGCACGCTTTGTCGGGCTGGGTTGGGTGGAGGGCC